TTTTTTTTTTTTTTTTTTTTTTTTTTGTTTTTTTTTTTGTTTTATTAAGAAAGTTGCACTTACAGTTAAAAACTTAAATACAACAAATAGTTAAGCTATGGCTGCGGTGGCCTTAAGCTAAATAATGCTTATCCGTAATAAGTTAGAAGAAAAGTTGAGTACATTAATTATGATAATGGTTTTTGATTAGATTTTGTCGTATACATTGCAATATTTTAAGTAGCTTATAAACGTTTTGAGGTTGTCGAGGGTTGGGTTTATAAGAAGGTCGATTGGCTTAGTGTTGGGTAGGGATCTTTTATATTGGTTGAAAAATTTACAATTTTCTAAAATGTGTTCTATGTTGATTGGGGATCTATTGCAGTATCTACATATATTCGTCGCATTTTTATCTAGTAAATGTTGGTTTGTCAAAGTGCTGTGCCCCAATCGTATTCTTGCAAGTTTGACTAGGTCCTTTCTTGTTAGTTCGGAGTTTCGGTCGATTTTGGCGATTTCATTCATGGTTAATTTTTGAGGGTTTATTTTTTTATACCAACTGGTAGTTTTGTCGTATGTATTACTTTGTTTAAGAGCAAACAGTTTTTTTATGTAGCTTTGTATGTCGCTAGCTAGGTTATTACTGGTCATAATGAGGGGACGTCTCAAAGCCTCCTTTGCAGTTAGATCGGCTAGTTCATTGCCTTTAATTTGTACATGGCTTGGCACCCAGACGAGTTTTATTTTATCTTTATTTTTTATGAGGAAATTTCTTATGGTGTCTGCATAGATGTTATTAGTTTTTGGGCTTTTTATGGCTTCGAGAGATGAAAGTGAGTCTGTGGCGATTGCGAATTTGCCTCGGTTTTGGCTGGCAAATTTTATAGCTTCATAGATGGCTATAATTTCTGCCGAGAAATTCGAGCTATAGGCTGGTAACTGTCCCACAACTATTATTTTGTCATTGTAGACTGCACTAAAGCTTACACAATTTTCTATTTTGGAGCCATCTGTGTAGATGAATTTGAATGCTTTAAGCCTATTAGTGAGATCCAAGAAGTGCTTCTTGTAAATTTCAGGGGATGTTTCATTTTTGGTAAAGTAATGTAAGGATGTATCTACAGAGGTTGGCGAGAGCTGCCAACTAGGGAACTTAGGAGATGATATTTGCTTATTGTTTATTGGAATACCGTAATGATTGGCATAACTAATAATTTTATTTATTACTGAAGGTACCTTCTGGAGTCTTTTAGATTTATTAATTTTTGTTGTAAGCTTAGATAAAGGCGACTGGTCATTTGCCATAATTGATTTGGATTGTTTAACGATAATGAGTTCTAAGCTTAAAATTATTGGGGTAAGGTTGGCTTCGTAGATCAAGTTATTTATAGGTGTAGTGCGGTAGGCGCCAATTGAAGCTCTTATGGCCGCATATAATGTGGTTTTTAATTTGTTTAATATAGATTTTGGAGATGATCCAAAGAGATAAAGGCCATAGTTAATTTTGGAAACAATTAAGGCTTTAATTGCGGAGATTAACGAAGCTGGGTTACAGTTGTAGTTTTGGTTAGAGAGACATTTTATAATATTAAGACGTTTATTTAATGAAGCTAGGAGATTTTGTATGTGTGTATTCCAATTGTATCTTTTATTAAATGTAATGCCTAAGATCTTAATATTATCCACAGTGCTTATTGCCATATTGTTCGAAAATATTTCTGTGCGGCAGTTATGTTTTCTGCATACGTGTATGTGTTTGCATTTTTCCACAGACAGCTCTGCGCCTGAGTAGTCGCACCATGTTATGATATTGTTGTGAATGCTATTTAAGCTTATTTTTATGTTCTTGTCTTTGTTGAGTTTTTTTATTAATATAAAGTCATCTGCGTAAGCTAGAAAGTCGATTTCTTTATGTAAGGAGAGAATGCCACAAAGTTTATTGTAGGCAATTAAAAAAAGACTAACTGATAGGGGAGAGCCTTGAGGTATGCCATTTTGAAATGGATAGGATTGGGATAGATATTGGCCGATTCTTACTCTAATTTTTCGGTTTGTCATAAAGTGCTTAATGTAATTAAATATTTTTGGTCCAATTTTCCAGAGCATTAGTTGGTCGAGGACTGTATGTACGCCGATCTTGTCGAAGGCTTTAGAAAAATCAAGTGATATAATGATATGTGTTTCTTTAATTGTAGGGAGTGAGCGATCTGATGATCTAAGTAAATTAGCGAATCAGACACCGATTTCCCTTTCCTAAATCCAATTTGATGGCTATGAAGTAGTTTATTAGTTGCAATAAACCACCATAGTCTATTCGCTATAATTTTGTCGAGCACCTTAGCGCAGCAAGGGTTTAAGAAAATAGGTCTGTATGAGTCGATAGAAGATTTGTCTAAATTTGGTTTTTGAATGGGGATTACAAGGCTATTTTTGTAGATTTGAGGGAGGTAGTTTTCGAAAATGTTATTGTAGAGTGAAAGGATTCGCAGTTTTACAGGATTTGATGTATTTTTAATCATAGAATATGATATTCTATCAATTCCAGGGGTGTGTCCATTTAGCAGGGACAACGCCATGGAAAGCTCGAGGTAATTTTGTTTTCTATGAACTGAGCTGTCTTATCTACGATTAGATTGTGTACTGCGGACACAGAACGGTGTTTGTTCTGGAGGAAAGAGTGCGAAAAATTAATGTCGTCAGATGCCTTTGACCAGTGCGTTCCGAATAAATTGGCTATTTCCAATTGTTCTGTTATGCGACATTGGTTACTGCCTTGATTTTGTATACAGTGCATCGTGGGGAAACATTTCAGTCCACAGAATCGTCGAATCGTTGACCATACTTGCCCAATGGGGCTCCTAGGGTTGATATTCGAGGTGAATTCATTCATGGACTTAGATTTTGAAGACTTAAGTTCTCTCCTAAAAAGGTTATTTGCTTTTTTATATTTTATAATATTTTCTAAGGATATGTTTCTTTTGAGCACATTCCAACTTCGATTCCTATCCATTTTTAGTTCTTGGAGTTTTTTGTTCCACCACGGCACTGATTTTTTTACAGTGTACCTAGTTTGGACAATGGAGTGAGTAGCACTATCTAAAATTATTCTCTGAATGTTAGCTGCTTCTTTATTGATGTTTGAGCTGGTGGGTTTGTTTGAACTGATTTTGTTTGATATAAGGTTAAATTTGTCCCAGTCAGCTTTATTCATGTTGAATTTAGGTCGTTTTATATTGGGTGTTGGATTTTGGTTGGGGAAAAGAGAGATAACTAGGGGGAAGTGATCGCTGCCTGACAGATTGGGTTCAATTTCCCATTTGCTTTGTAGGGCTATATTAGGAGATGAGAGAGTCAAATCAACATGTGTGAAGGTGTGGTGTGTTGTGTAATGAGTGGGTCGGCCGTCATTTAATAGAGTGAGCAATGATTGTGTGATAAATTTGGAGACTGTGTTTCCTCTCTTATTGCTTTTAGGAGATCCCCAGCTAGCATGCCAGCTGTTAAAGTCGCCAGAGATGAAATGTGGAAGGTGTTGTGTGTTAAAGGTGTCTTGAAGGTCTTTTAGTCTGAAATGTATGTGAGGGGAAATGTATACAGAGCTGTTTAAAAATTTTATTTTAGATTGAACGATTATAGTTGTAATATCGAACTTGTTGGTTGTTGTGTTGCAGACTTGGTGTTGTATGGAATTATGTATTAATATGGCAGATCCAGAAAATGAGTTGCGGGGGTTAGAGGATCGGTAAAGTTTGAAGTTTATAGGGATAGGGATTACCATATTGTCTTGAAGATGGGTCTCTTGCAAATTGATTATCTGTGGTTTAATTTTTTTTAATTAGCAATTGCAGTTCGTTATAGTTGTTTAAGTAGCCTCTTATGTTCCATTGTAAAACTTTTAGCGCAGCGGTCATTAGGTGTATACTAATTAGTGTTGGATTGGTTACAAAGAAGAGGATATAAAACAAATCTTATAAATAATATAGTAATATAAAGTAGTATGGTTAGTATTTATTCAAATAGGTCGGAGTAATCCATGCCAGGGCTGGTAATACTAGTTGGAGCTTTTACTCGTTTCGTTTTGCTTGTTGTTGGGTTGAGCTTTTTTATTCTGAATACTAGTCGCTTAGGAGTATTTCTTGGTAGTATTTTAATGCTTTGTTTTGATGTGGATGGTGTTTCGTTGTCTGAGCTTTCGGTGAGTAGGTCCGTGTACTGTACAATTTCTCTGTTTGCGACTGGAGTATTTGGAGGTATGGCGGTATTTGTTGTTGGAGTTGGAGTGGGTTTCGAGTGATTGAGTGTTGTTTTGTTGTACGGCGTTTTGTGGCTGATTTGAGTATTCTGTGTGGTGTGGTGAATATTGGATGGTGGTTGTGGGTCCTGTTGTTTTGATATGGTAGAATAGCTGGAGTTGTTGTATTGATGACGTTCTCTGTATATGGCTCTAGCAGTTTTGTTGTCGACATTTGATGTAACCTTTATTGCTTGTATTTCTTTTTCTCTCAAAAATATAGGGCACTTTCTGTCTAAAGCATTGTGGTTGGTGTCTGCTAGTTTGTTAGCATCACAGTTTACACATTTTATGTTTTCGTTGCATATTTCGTTATTTTCTTCGCAGTTAGGGCAGGTTCGCTGGACTTTGCAGAACTTTGCAAGATGATTGTATTTTAGGCAGTTCTCACACCGCGCAGGGAGTGTAATGTATGGTCGAACCGGAATACTTAGATAACCAATGTTAATTTTATTCGGCAATGAAGACGAGGAAAATGTTAAAATTATTAGTCCTGTTTCTTTTAATTGACTGTCTATTTTTTTGTAGATTTTTTTAACTTCACAAACGCTTTGGGATGTCAGTTCATCGAGAATTTCTTTTTCAGGGATATCTCTTAGGTCGCTGCAATATATAACTCCCTTAGAAAAGTTAAGTGTGGGATGTAAAGTTATGTCCACTGTGATAGTTTTTGATAAGGCTATTAAAGTGCAGAGTTTATGTGCTTGTTTGGTGTTTTTGGTTTTCATTAATATTTGGCCACTTCTAATTTTTTTTGCAAAGCTCGATTTCACCGCATGTTGCGTCAATTGCTTTTTTAATTAGAAATGGAGAGACACTAGACAGGTTTTCCGTGCTGTTAATACGTGTCATTGTCAAATATATTGGATTTTCTGATATTATATTCAATGTTTTTGAGTTATCCCATTGAAGTGATGGGATATTCGGTGGTTTCATTAAGTAGTCTGGTGGTTTGTTCATGTTGACTTAATAAAGTTTTATAGAATTTATCTATGTAGTCTGTCGAGGACATGAGCGCCAATTTAATAGAATTTGACTGATCCTTATATGTTTTCTCATTTTTCATATTATGCGTGCGACCGGCAACTTTGTCATTTATATTATTGTGAATTAATTTTGGAATTTGGAAAGTTGGATTGCCTTGTTGTAAGCGGTGTCATGGGGTGACCTGTGCCCGCAATTAAGAAAGTTAAGTACTTCGTATTCAACTACCGCCGCGACCGCATCGCACTTGTTTTATCGAATTACCTTTTTTGATTAAGCCACTTGGGCAACATTGAATTCATTTCTTCAAGTAATATTGTATTGCTTCAATCTCTCTAATAAACAATTGTATCTATATATTTGAATTAAATCCAACATCCAATAGACTTTTCTTTGTTGTGGATTTAGTCACTTGGCGCGCCCTGTGCTAAGATTTATTACTCCCTCAATAAGCAACAAGTCTTATTTTTAAGTTCACAAGAGAATTTTGGAACTAAAGAGAATATCACTTCTCAATTCTTTATTTTTCCTTTTCGCACTTTAATTTATCGTCGGCTAGTACACGTGAATGTCTTCAGAGATTTGAACGTCTGTTCGCTTTGAAGGTGAAACGCACACTGCATGGCCAAGCCAGCGGTCCGCTATATTTTAATTCGCTGCACAATGTCCATGTCGTTGTAAAGCTCATACAGCTCATCGTTCCATCGTCTGCAGTACTCGCCGTCGCCAACGCGTAAATGCCCGTAAATCTTCCGCAAAATCTTTCTCTCGAACACTCCAAGAGCCGCCTCAGCGGATGTTGTCATTTTCCATGCTTCCGCGCCATACACCAGCACAGGCATGATGAGTGACTTATAGAGTGTGATCTTTGTACGACGAGAGAGGACTTTACTTCTCAATTGCCTACTCAGCCCAAAGTAGCACTTGTTGGCAAGAGTGATTCTCCGTTGGATTTCAAGGCTGACATTATTATTGGTGTTAATGCTGGTTCCCAAATAAACGAAGTCGTCTACTTTTTCAAACTTGTAACTGTCAACAGTGACGTGGGTGCCAAGACACGTATGCTCTGACTGTTTGTGTTATGACAGGAGGTACTTCGTTTTGTCCTCGTTCACCACCAGACCCATTCGCTTTGCTTCTCTATCCAATCCCGAGAAGGCAGAACAGACGTAGCCCTTGTTTTTACCGATAATATCGATGTCGTCGGCATACGCCAGCAATTGTACGCTCTTATAAAGTATTGTGCCTGAGCGGTTCAGTTCTGCGGCTCTTATTATCTTCTCCAACATAAGATTAAAGAAATCACACGAAAGGGAGTCCCCTTGTCTGAAACCTCGTTTGGTATCAAACGGCTCGGAGAGGTCCTTCCCTATTCTGACGGAGCTGGTGGTATTGCTCAACGTCATTTTACACAGCC